TTTAATCTTGTTTTTATTCCACTGTTCTAAGAGTAATGGCTTGTGGATGAATAAATTGCGTGACTTGTATCATCTAAACGGACCTAGTTAGTTGTCAGTCATAAAGTTTTCAGCAACCCTAAATGCTTAAATTAGCAAGAAAACTTGGGCATTAATCAAGGCTTTTAAATCTACTTTGTTTACTGAACAAAAGATTCACGATAGCATGTGGAAGAACTTGATTGTTTCCTATACTTACCACATCCGCCGCGCATTGTTTATTGTTGATATGCATTGCGTGAAGAGCTAATTCCCAGTTTTTCGGGTTGATGAAACTAAATGTGATTCATTCACCTAACGGCTGTTATGCACAAAGCGGTGTTAAGCATCAGAAGCTTTTCAAAATAATCCACATGTTCTTCATTTTCTCAAAGGAACCATTATCAAGCACAGCCAGTCGAATCCTGAACAACTCCGGCGCACTGGTCACTCCCTAATAATATACAAGACATACTAGGCGTATTAGTTTAATAGGTCAGGTGTTACTTTTTTCGGCATCACAAACATCGTTTTTCTGCAGGAATGATGCGTGCTACCGGGTTTCTATTCAAACCTGTCCCCCCGAGAGTCAAAGTTATGATGTAAAGCCGCAGAAAAATGCCCAGCACCCTTAATCAACTGGTCAAATTACTTTGCTGAGAGTTATTGCGCTGCCGTAGCAATAACAGTAACCACAACAGGAAACCGAATGCTTGTTTTTACCACAAATACGAACACTCAAACGTCCAGTCAGTGTCGTATTCATCTTCAGATATTACGTTTGACATTTTACCGCAATCATTTCGAAAAAGGAATCTAGCTAAAAGTATAGAGATATCCTGGGACAAAAACGTCATGGAGTATTTTGTGTGGTGCCCTGACCGGATATCAAACCGTCAGAGACGAGAACTTCACGCCACGTTTTCGCTGTAACCCACCTTCATGGATGCTCACATTTGAATGCTAGCGCGAAAACTCGCCTCCAAAAGACAAATAAGACAGTAAATGAATTCACGATGGCACTGAGTGTACGAGACACAGTATTACTTTGGAGTAGATCTGTTGTGAAAGTAATGCGATGATTTGCTTCGAAGTGTAGGTCAATCATTGTTTCAGGATTAATTTGCCACCTTGAAGCCGGTAGTGACGTCTTGTGAGTAATATACCACCTAGTCACAAAAAAAGGCTCCGAATAGCATCGCGAAGTTGTGCTGATTGTCCAACACGTGAAATCAATTTAACAAACATCCTCTGTTTCACTGGGTCAGTAATTAAATTTGAATCTTACTCAAGTGCATCCGACGAGATGTAAAGCGAGGGAGGCAGGCATTCAGTCACCATTATTGGGTTTAGTCGCCACTATAAAGATCGATTTCAACAATATGACAAACTGGACGCGCACATTAGTGAAGGAAGGAGAAATCAGTATCATCGTATCACCATTATTGGGTTTAGTCCCCACTATAAAGATCGATTTCAGCAATATGACAAAATGGACGCGCACATAAGTGAAGGAAGGAGAAATCAGTATCATCGTACTCTTGGAATATGCCCTCATCTGTCATACTGGAAAAGTGTGCTTAAAACTGAATCAGAATTCAAATCTTAAGTTTGTCAAGGAAAATTCGTCCCATTTTCAAGCTGCTGGTGGGATTATCCGTGTAATTCATGTAAAATGAACAAAATCAGAACAAGTAATGGCCTACAACTGAGGTACCATTTGCAAACGTTCCCTCCCACTTCGTATTGACGCTGCTGGCTGTAAACTCGCCAGTGAATAACGTTTTCTTACCATAAAAAGCACCATAACCCAATTTCATTCTGACTCGTCATTTCTGTCAACAGGAGGCGGAGTTTAGATGTGTAGGCACCTGTTATCGCTCCCTACCTTGAGTGCACCGGTTATTTCGCTCCACTGTGTAGATCATCATCATCGTCAGCTGTAAGAACCGCGTACTGGTCGTACACTGGTTGTAGCTGCCGCAGTTTCGTTCACCGATGATTTGGGGAGGGGGGTAGGTAGCTGCGCATTGCACGCGCGAGCTGGTAACTTGGTGCATAAATCCAGCAATCTCAGTGGGCTGTCAAGTGGGTGGGAGGGGGTTGGAAAAGGAGCTATGCATTGAAGGCAATAGCTTGGATGCATGAGCGCCATTGAGGGCGCGACTGGGCCATGTCTGATAACGTCTCTAGCCATTGATGTGGCCCGTCTCGGGGTCCCCATCCAGGAAGACGGCAGCGACCAACGCAGCTGAGTTTGCTGGTAATGGCCTTCATACTTCGCTGCCAAGTCATTGTTTGACCGCCTCTGGCTCTCTTCCGCCCTTCACATGGTTGGGCGAAAAGAGCCCTTCGAGGAAGTCGGTCTACTGGCATACGCAGCACGTGGCCAAGCCAGCGCAACCTGTGCAGTGTGATCAGTTCATCTATCGAGGGTGAGTTATTTCTCCCGAATACCATTCGATGTACTTCAGAATTGCTGATCCGGTGTTCCCACCAGATTCGGGCAATGCTCCGAAGACATCGATGGTCAAACACTGAAAGTCTTTTGACGTCCTCGGGAGTTCCCGCTGTGTAGATGGTGATAGGCGATTCTCAAATGTTTACTTCAACTCTTCAGTGGACTGACCAGTGCAGATCCCTGGAGTAGCCTGTATGTAGGATTTGCGTTTGTCAGTGTGATTACCATACCTAATGCATAGCGAGTACACAGCCCATCGTAAAAGCAGTGTGAGACTTGAATTATTTATATTGGTAACCACATGAGGTTGCACGCATTGTCTGAAGATTTTTTTATGGAAAAGAATAGACTTTCGATTGACTAAACCAACTGGTTGATATGAATGAACATTATAACGAACAGAATGGTAGCGTATCTATAAGAGGATTTAATAGGAGCAAAGCACGAGATCCGTAATGTCCTCTGGAAATTTGCCTTGTATCTAACTCTATTTGCTACTCTATTCCTACGGTTCATTTTTTCAGGTTCAACTACACTTGGATAAAAATGTACAATTTAGTTAAGTTTAGTTTCCTTTTCGTCGGACCTAATGAATCCTGACCAATCGTTCTGGAATCGGTGGGCTAACACAGGCCATAGCCTCACCTCAGGATGCCGGCAGCCCTCAAAATTAACTTTTTCAGGTTTATCCAAGTGAAAGCGCATCCTTCCGTAGCACTCAATATCTCTGTTCGTCTTTCTTTGATCGTTCTATTTTATTCAATAATTATGTACCTGCTATCCATAACCATGTTTGTTTGGACAACTGAGTGAGTGTTTTTCATTGCGCAATCAACCGTGAAGTGTCCAACAAAAGGTAGAAAGCTTTTCTCTAATACAAGAAATGCATGCCATGAGTTCGCGTGATCGGACAAGTTCGTGTAGTAAACCACCGATAATTATAAAGCTGAAAGGTTCGGTGTTGAATTACTGTGCGTGAATACAGGAAATTTGAATATCTGAAAATTGACCAACTGGGAAACGATCAACCCGACCCCGTTCATCTTCAAGCTAGACTGAAATGTAATTTGTCTAAGTAAAGATGGGAATTCTTCGAATCAAGTAGAACACCTAGAACAAGCATTTCGTCTATTGGAATCACTGATTAAAAGTATTAACTTTAGTACACCGAGCCACCTCTAGACGGAACACCCAAAGTAGCCAGCAAACTTTTTGCCCTGAAGAGAATTAGTCCGTTATAACAGTTAGTGTTCTTAATGGTGAATCCTTATGAAGTGTTTTCCAGATTATTAAGGTTCATCTAATAAATTTTATTAACACCCCGGAACTTAATCGGGTTTTCGCAGTTTATCTCCGTTACGACACATCGAGACTAAACGGATGTGGACATTAGTGCACATCGTGAATGCTACGGATTGCCGCTGAGCCCTATGCGAATGAGTCAAAAGCAGAACTACTTCAGTCGCTATCATGGAGATGGAGAAGCGCTGTGTCGCATAGCCATCTTTTGGGTCAGCTCCTCGACAAATGCCCCCTACTTCGCTTTCTTTTTCAGTCCGGGCAGCTGGACTTCACCACACCCTTCACGAATGCGACAGTACAGATTAAATAACATGAGGCTTGCTCCGTTCAGCAAGGGGAACGTGGAAACTATTTTTTAAGGTTCCCGATACGAACCTCTGAGTCACGGTTAGGTTTGACACTCTCAACTATCAAATTGAAGTACTGGGTTCGAACCTCTGTTAACACAGAGGTAAGAAAGCGTGCACAAAATGCTCAAGTTGTCCTCTTCCCTGGCGTCAGCAGGTGCATAAGTCTGTCAATGACCGGCAGAGTGCATAGCCCAGGTCGGCACATCAAACAACAGCAAGCGGTTCCGTGGTGTGCGTTCCGATTGTCCTTTCCGAAGACACTATCGTGATTCTGACTGGCGACGCGATTAGACGAAAATCACGACAGAACAAGTTATGGAAGCCTCAGCAAACGGGCATGGGTAATAAGGGCAGCATTGCATGTTCACATATATGCTAATAAAAATTTCGACCAAAAAGAAACCCGTAAAACAGAGCAACAGGATGCAAACATCATAAACAAGAGATTCAGCTGAGTTCCAAGTGAGTTTCGCTTCAAAACAAAATAATTATGAAAATGAGTGTAGTTCGCTAATTTCGTGTAAGTTGGGTTCAAGTAGAACATGAGGTTAACGGAAAATCGGGGACTGCGCCTACCTGATGAGCCCCAAGTGGGGCGAAAACGGTCGTGGGCTTTCGAAGATTTTTCAGCTATCTTATTATTAGTATACTACGATTAGTGGAGGAGTTTTACCCAGATAATTGACTGAAAATGTGTAGCAACCAATAAAACCACTAGAAACAGAAACTGGTGGCTCGTATTGGGCGATTTCGATATTGCACGAAGGTGCATCCTTGCATAAGTACTGTATTTCCAACCTTTTCTCAAGCAACTTGTCGTATCTCACCATGACAACCCACAGCTAAAATTTCCTTTAAAAACCGTTGAAATGATCAAACTCGCAACTAGAAACTCAACACTGCATCAAGGTGAGTAAAAGTCCCGGTGGCAATGTGGTCGTGGCATCTGATGGTTTTCAGTTTTAATCCGAGTTTAACAGTGTTTAATGCTGTTACTATTTCTCTGTCCCTGTTCCCTGTCCTCAAAGGTTGCATGCTGTATGGATTCAGTGGAGGGCTTTTTGGTTTTGCCTCCTTCTGCACACTGGCAGTAATCGCGTTTGGACGTTACTACGCAGTTGTGAAAAACTTCAACGATCCAAGGAAACTGACTGGCAGAACTGTATTGCTTATAATCATCTTCGTTTGGCAATGGTCAGCCTTGTGGCCCCTTTTGCCCTTTTTCGGGATTGGTAAGTATTATTCATTCTGAAGGAAATGTCAATTATGTAGAAACTGGCTGCGTTAAGACACAATCCAGTGGTAGCCATCATACAACAACTTTTCGAACAATTATATACGGATGATTGGCAAAGGCTGGATAGAAGAAGTTGTGTAAGTGCAGAGCTGTCGCCTGCTTTGAATGTGAACACTTCTTTACAAGAAAACCGTCCATAATATGTAACATTATTCGTAAGGTTGCGAAAACATTTCGAAATTTCCGTTTCACTCATCTCGAGTCTTATCAAGCAGGCTATGTCCCCGAGTTTCCGTCAACCTTATGTTCTGTTTGAACCCGAATAGCACAAAATTCGGCTAAAACACTCATCTGGTTACTAATTTTTCTTCACAGGAGACTCATCTTAAACCCAGCTGAAACTCTCATTTATGATGTTTTCCTTCAACTGGATGTTTTGGAACAGGCTGTCCCACGTTGCAGTTGGCACGATACGCCAGTATCTCAATGAATTTTGTGGACCCATACACTACTGCTTATATATGTATACATTATTCAATAAGTTATTGTCTACCAGGTTTATGAAACATATCTCAAGAAAGTGAACACTTTCTCCTTTCCCTTAAAATCTATTTCCAAAAGCGGTAAAATTCATATTGTGCGCTCAGTACACACACGAAACAGCTCACCATAGTTTTAGTAACGAGTTTACAGATATTTAACTACGCCGACTTTATCTCGCAAGTAAGAATGGTATTGCATGTTTAAACCGCTTTTGTTCAAAACATATGAAAGTCTCCAAAATATTAATGACTTTTATTCCACTATTTGCGAATGCGAGATAGCTCCTTCAGGCCTTTGAGTCTCACCTCCATCTCTTCCATGCATACACACGCCTATAAGTTCCGAAACGACCCCAAGCAATTTTTGCAATACGGGAAGCTTCCGTGGTAGCCTGCTGGCTCGGAGATCGAGGCTTTTGTTCACATGTGATATATCCTCAAGAAGTTTCATACTTTGTAATATGGTTTGTCATCTATGCAACTAAGTTTTATCAGGTAAAAGCACTCCACGACATGTAGTGACCTAATTTCAATGTAAATGACTCGGAACACAAAAGAAGGACGCTTAAAATTTAGTGGCTCAAATATTGTCATTGAAGTCATTCCAGGGTAGTTTGTGATATATGAAATCGCAGACTGGTGGAAGACTTGTAAGCCCTCAGTAATTTAAGCAACAAAGGGAGAAGACCGAAACTGGTCGATGAATGCATTTCCTATTGGTTCGTCAGTCAGTACCACTATGAAGAACGCGGGATATTCAAATGGGTTGTTCGCATGGCCACGTGCCACAAGATCATTTAAGAGAAGTGGTATGCATGTTATGTCCAGAGGAACTAAAGGGGTGTTGAGTGCATCTTGGAAACACCATAAAGGGCTATAAAGCATCCAGACTGCATCTCTGTAATAGTCTCACCCAGTTCAGAAACCCGTGACTCTTGAGGGTTGAATAAAAAATGAAAATTGAGACTAAATACATTTGATGGCGTGATGAAATGAGGTTTTTCAGTCGCTGACTACGGCAACTTAAGGGCTTTCATTTGTTAATATTAAATCCTTGACCGCTTCTTTCTTGCGATGATGCACCTATCA